CGTTTGTTTGTAGGGGCGGGGCAGTGCAACGGGTCCATTGACTACAGTACGAAAATCTACAGTACGGTCACGGACCGCCTCAGGGTTCGGGCCGGACTCGTCCATGGCCTGGAGAAGCTTGACCTGAACGACTTGTAACACCGCCATGGTGTGCAGAGCCGATGCAGCCTGACCTGAAGCAGAGAAGGCGCGTCCAGCGAGGGCTGAAGTGTTTCGGCAGGGCTTCGAGGGGTGTACCGCTAGATCTCCAGCCAGCAGCAGTGGGCGGGCACAGATAACCTTTTTCCGCTGCGCCGTCAACAGAGGAGAGTGTAGCAGAAGTGGAAGTGCTCGTGCGCGCCGAGTATGGCAGGAACCACGACTTTGTGAGTTTATCATGGACCTCAGGGAAGAAGGGTGCTGGTTTGTGGCGGGGGGCCTGCTGGATTTAGCCATGCCCATTTAGGCGCGCTCTGACGTGTTGGGCGCCAAGTCACTTGATTGGGATTGCACGTCAGAGGCGCTTGGCCATAGGATGTGCAGTTGCTGCAGCACAGCCAATGGGCGAGCTAGACGCTCTGCTGTGTTCGCTGTGCAGCTGCACTGCGTTTAAAAATATTAGCTTCAATATTTCTCGAGGAAAGGAGTTCCCCACTGTGTATTAGCTACGCAATACGAAGTGACCGGTCTCGAAAGGGAACATGGTTTGTGTAACATTATTAGCAACACATTAATAGCTGTTTGATAGTCAAGCAAAAGGCATATTCATTACCGTTATGTGTCCGACGTTGTAAGCGATACCATTGTGCCAGCGTTTAGCCTACCTCAGTTGGGCAAGTGAATCTCTGAGCAGGTGTGAATGAGTGGAAGTGGGGCTAATTAACATATTCATGGTTCCACATATACAAATGAATCAAGGGTGTAGTAGAGTTACATTCAAGTTATTTTCAGTCATGAAGATGAAGGCGTTTAAATATGTGATTTTTGTGATCAAAGATGAGTTTTAAGGGATACAATTATTGACTTCAGTCAGGGGCCTTAATATCTGTATACTTTCATTTGCAAAAAAAAACAAAAAAAACCCAGCTATAGCCTGACAAAACACGTAATAACCTCATGTGCATGACGTCACCGTTTTTCACAGATTCGCGTTTTTGTAGTTTACACGGAAACGTTTTGAGACATTTTAAAAAACGTGCACTTTGAAACCGGTTTTCAAAATTTGCGTTTCCAGGCCACCAAAACGCCGTTGTTGTGTAAGGCTATGTTTACACGGAGAAAACGCAAAAGTGGCGTTGCGTTATCACTTTTTATTTTGCGTTTAGACGAGCGTTATGGTTGGGAAATCCGCGTGCATATGACGACGCAAAAGTGTGTAAAATTCGATGTATGCACTCCAGGCGGCTAAGTGGCAATGTGAAGCACTGCCACACAACAACACAGGTTCCCGTGTACTGGATGCATTGTACAAGATCTTAGAATATTTTGTACAACTGCTGAAAAAACTCTTGTATGTTTTTCAGAGCTGCTAGGGCAACTTGAAGGTCCGACGTATGGAAATAATCTGATATGTTGGTTGTTATTTTCCTGTACTGGCGCATGCATGTGACGTAAATGCATACGCGACGAGAGCCAGAGCCACCGTGAGCAGATTTGCGTTTTTACCTTTTAGACGGGAACACGAAGGTGGAGCGTTTTTAAGATTTCCACTCTGGAGGGTGGTTTCACTTTTTTGCGTTTTTAAGCCCCCAAAACGCCGTTGCCGTGTAAACGAAAGGCACATCCGATAAAATATTTTTACGTTTTCACCCGGAATCGTTCTCGTGTAAACGGGGCCACGTAAAAAGTCTACCATTTTTAATTGAAAACGGTGCCGTGTAAACGGCCCCTAAAAAGCAACTCTGTTGAAAACGTTGATGTCATCGTCCAACTGCAGTTCATTTCTCATCCAAATCAATAATATTGCGAGTATTCTACACACACTTCAGGTGCGTTCAGGCAATGTTGAAATTACCGTAGCCTAATTACTAGATATCAGCTAAGCGTTCATGTACTGGTGGTAGCAGCTTGTAAGATGGGAGTTTACTGAAAGCTCCTACTTACCACATGACCGCTGCCTATTCATTTAGGCTTTGGAAGTGGTCTAACCAAGGAAACTCTTGAGAATGACTTGAACTGTTGACATATGGCGACATCTTCTGGTTACGGATGGAACTTCCTCTGTCCGTGGTGCTGAATTAAAATTACATTATTAACATAAACCAGGTTATTTATTTTTGATATTTTGGAGATTTGGATATATATTTTTCATATTCTTTGAAATACTTTAGAGTAAGATACACATGAATACAATACTCGTTCAGTATCATGGTATGTTTCAAAATGACTGTACCTACTGTTTTGTAGATAGTAACCATGCTAATAAGTTATTTAAATATTGTAAAATATGTAACTCACTTTACCGACTACATTAGTATATCATTTCTGTTCATAATCAGGTCTATATGACTTTTGCTATTCCACCCTTGAATCAGATCTGCATTTCCCATGGGGCTGCCTGAGGAATTTGCATTTTCTGCAACATATCGGATGAGCGGCGATACACTGAATAAGAGCTGGAATATGTGGCAAATGCAAGATCTGAATGGAAAGGAACAGCTCGCCGTCAGACTCAATGGGGAGGCCTTGTCTGTGGAGTTCTCATACAGAACCCAGGAGAACAGAGGGATGACAGCTTTATTCCCTTACCAAACGCTCCTCTTCAATTCTCAGTGGCACAGCATTTTACTGCTTGTCAAAAAAGGCTCTGCGAGTCTCATAACAGATTGTATGCCAACAGATTCACAGCAGCTGGCACCAAGAGGACAAGTAAACCTAGATGGATTCACACACATTGGAAAACTGAAGGACAATTCAGCAATAGCTGTGCCGGTGAGAATCAAATTAAACTTTTCTTTGTTATCTTTATTTACACAAATACAAGTCTTTTTATGTGTTTACATTTCTTCCATACTGGTTTGGTATCAGTTGGGGAAACCGTGATATTGTGTAACTCAGAGGCAGTTTAAAGAATATAATGATACTTCTATATGTCCAAAACATCAAGTTGCATATGTTTATTTTCTTCTTGAGGTCATTGTGAGAGGTGAGTTTGAAGGCTGTTTAAAGGCTCTGCGGCAGACTGTCTCTTTAAATAAAGTCTCTTCTGACAAATACATTTCAGCAGATACGTGGGAATTCTAGCAGTGAGGTTCTAGTCCAACAGCTGACCTGCATAAAATATCTGATTTTCGCATGGAAATTTGAGACGTCGTTTTATTAGACAAAACCAAACATCTGCCTTTCTCTTACTTTTGGTCTAGTTGTCCAGTTAAGAACTTTTATATCATAAAGGATCAAGGTTCTTTTTGGAGACATTCATTTGTTGCTGAAAATTATTATTTACAGGTTGTGGCGGGTGGTTGATGCATTACAACATAACCACATAAAGTCCACAAACTTTTTAGCAATATTAAGGCGAGACACTACAGGCAAAGTCGTTTTTTATGCACTGGTCAATTTTGAGATTTTTGGCTATTTTACATTTCCTATTGTGTTGTTTCAGATTAGTGGTAAGAAAACATCCAAGATACACTTTTATGTGTTTATTTGATTCCACGTTATCTGTTTGTATCTGTAGATTTCAAATTACAATGCAGATTCAAACTCCGTTTTCTCAAAATGACAAACTCCGTTTTCTCCACTTTAATAGAACTTACATACACTAAAATATTATTTTTTATATCTATCCTATCCTATCCTATCATATCATCTCATATAATCTAATATCATATCATATATCATATCATATGATCATATCCTATCCTATCATTTCAATTCAATTCAATTAATTTCATATTTATTTGTATAGCGCTTTTCACAATACACATTGTTTTAAAGCAGCTTTACAGAAAATGCACGAGTCCACATTACAATTTAGAGTGATCTGTTATCAATGGTAACTGTCTAAGTTATGTATGCATGTAGTTATGTATCTATCCTATCATGATATCATACCATATCCCTTCAGTAAAACCTTTAATATGTCAACATAATAAAACATGAATTTTGAACCTGGTTTTATCCAGTGTTCAGATTTCTGTCCTGGAAATGTTTAATATTTAAACATAACATTTTGGAAAACCAATTCCTGATGTAATCAATCTGGGGAAGTGTGGTCATATCTCTTAGTTTTTTTTTTCTTTTTCTTTTTTTCACATGTGGTGTCTTAATACATTTTTAAAAAAGTACACTACCGTTCAAAAGTTTGGGGTCGGTACGATTTTTTTAAATGTTTTTGAAAGAAATCACTTATATGCTCAGGGCTGCATTTATCTGATCAAAAATACAGTAACAACAGCCATTACTCCAGTCTTCAGTGTCACATCCTTCATAAATCATTCTAAAATGCTTATTTGGTGCTCAAGAAACATTTCTTCTTATTATAAATGTTGACAACAGTTGTGCTGCTGGATACATTTCAGGATTCTTTGATGAAGAAAGTTTAAAATAACACGCATCTGTTTGAAATAGAAATATGAATGCTTTTTACTGTCACTTTTGATCAATTTAAAGCCTCACTGCTGAATAAAAGTAATGAATTTCTGTTCTTTCAGTTCGAGCTGCAGTCAATGCTGATTCACTGCGACTTAAACGTCCCGCAGAGAGACGCATGCGGTGACCTTGCTGCAAGCAGACAGGTGAGACTTGTCCAACATCTCAATTTTCATCTGAGAAACGAAAGCAACCGGAATGTGATGTTACAGCTCTACTATTTTCCAGCATTCCCTTTCCGTCTCCCAAAAGAGCATTTAGTGTTTGTTAACAGAGGTCAAATGTCACAGTCTAGTAAAATGTCCCGCCGTCTATTCGAATGTGTGCCGGACTCCTCCTCTCACTGTCCCGCTGTCCTCCAATCACAGACCCATAACAAACCACCTCATGAATATGCATGAGCACGGTGTGGTTATGGTCTCCCTTGAGTTCAGATAGTTGAAAGGGGATTTAGTTGGGTTTCTTGGTCAGGGGATCCGTCAGCCCAACTGATCTGAGAAAACAGGGGCTTCTGTGTCTTTGGGGAAATCATGGCTCGCGCTACAGGTGTGCGCGGGCCCTTTTTACTGGTTTTGTTGGAGATAACCCTCATCTGCACGGCGCAGGTAAATGCAACCCTTCTTTGTTCTTTTCCTTTCAGATAGCCGAAGCAGAGTTTAAGGTGAGCGCATCAAACATGTAAAGAGAAAGAAAGAGAGAAAGTGTGCTTTCTTAAATAGAATAACAAATGCTGTAAAATATTACAGGCTGCATTGCATTTGTACACAGTGCATATGTTGTAAGAGACAACTGCACACCTGTTGCATGGCAGGTGTTTGAAATGCTTGCCTAAACTTAAACTGTTTTGTTTTCTTAGTCTTGATTTGCACTATATTGTTCACAGACTATTCCTATTGCATAATGCATCTAAAAACATGTCATAGGAATATGACAGCACAGTTTACTTACTATTTTTGAACAGAGGGCTGGTGCCGGATCTCCTGGTCCTCCCGGTGTGGCCGGAATAGACGGCATTGCTGTGAGTCGATTTTTAAAAATGTGAACAGCATAATTTAAAATATAAAGCAATTTAATCAACAAAACAGTATGTATAAAGGAAGAGATAAAAGTGTGTGTTTCTTGCAGGGGGAGAGAGGTGATGCCGGTGAAGAGGGTTCGACTGTAAATATAGCTTTCTGTGTCAAACATTGATATTATTATCTGCTATATTTAGGAGTTATGTTGTATCTCACACTGTCATATGTACTCGAAGGGTCCTGATGGAGATACTGGAAAACCTGGCTCTGCAGGACTTCCTGGATTACCTGGAGCCGATGTAAGGAATCACATTAAAATCGTGTGGATTCTCTCCATAACATGTTAAAACTGACACAGTCTTATATGGGAAAACGAACCTCAGTGTCAAAGAGTTCAGTCGATGGTGGGCGGCACTCTTAGATGGGTCAAAAATGCAGGGAATTTCTCATGCCGGACCGAAGCAAAGACCACAGGAAAGAAGTCTCCCTAAAAGACAACAGGGTTTTTGTTTAAGCATGGACACCCGAAGCCTGGACTTAATTAAAGTGGATTCCCTGTGAAAATGGAAGTGTGGGGTCAAGAAAACACCCACTCGGATCTGAGACGGAAGGGTTTTCGAAGGTGTTGAATGACTGACGGGTGTCTTTGTTTAGGCATCAAATGCTGTGGCTATTGTTAAGTTCCGCTTACAAAGTGAAAAAACATTCATGCAACAAACCATCCCCTAAAAACACCCTTTTCAATTAAAGTCCGTCATCGATTACTCTTGTGAGGGGTAATAATGTAACATTTCCTCTCTGTGTTGCTCCTCAGGGATTGACTGGCCCTTTAGGAGAACCAGGCCTCGATGGCCCTTCAGGACAAAAGGTGAGCGATAATGAGCTTCTCAGGGTTCTGCCTCAGTGGGGACCAGAGCTCAAATCGGTGTACCGACTGGCCTTGCAGAGGGAATTATAAGTATTTGCACATGACCACTAGTTCCTAATCTTGTCTGTGTGCTCAGTGATCTGTGCGGGCCAGTCAGATTCATCAGTTCCTGTTAAACTCACTGATGTTCAAACGCAGCACTTCATTCGGCCTTGGAGGATTCTCTGGCTTTATGTGATTTTCAGAACAGTAATTGTGCAGTCATGTAGTAAATACAAAACAGTGTTTATGTATGCATGGCCTATGTATGTGTGTGGGTGGGTGTGTACAGGTTTATATTACATTGTGGGGACCAATATAAAAACCATTACGTCTATGGAGAGTCCCTACAAAGATAGCGAACCAGACTGTGTGTGTGTGTGTGTGTGTGTGTGTGTGTAGCCTGGTAAACCCTACATTATGGGGACAAAATGTCCCCTCAAAGATGGAAATATTCGAGATCCTTGTCCTTGTGGGGACATTTTTTTTGGTCCTCATGAGGACAACAGGTTATAAATCATACTGTACATGTTTTTGAACATGCATGCTAAGGTTTTCTGTGATGGGTAGGTTTAGGCATATGATTAGTGTATAGAATAGAATAGTTGGTACTATATAAAAAGCATTATGTATGGGAAGTTCCCATAAAACACAACGTGTGTGTGTGTGTATGTGTTTTAAATTATGTTCAGCCTAAAATGAGACTGTGCAATTGTTGTTGTGGAACAGGGAGAACCTGGCAAACCTGGACCCAGAGGAGAGGCGGTAAGTCTGATTATGTCATTTTTTAACATATCCAAAGCCCCTGCGTACAATACAAACACCATTGAACAGATACGTATAGTTGTAAATATGTTTAAAGCTGATCTGTATACACATATCTTGCCTCAAAGCTGACAGCAGCAAGTTATTTAAAAGAAAGATTATAATTCACTTTTATCATATTCAGTAAATATAAATGGGTTTTGAATAAACATATGTCAGAAATGGGGGAAAATATATAAATACATAATTCAGTGCAAAATGTATACCTTCTTTGTCTTTTTAGGGTTTTGGACCTGATGGACCAATTGTAAGTTGCTTTTGTTTTAAATGCTAACCAAAAAAAACAGTGGGTGGAGTGAGGGGTTCTCTAAGGTTTAAATGTAATACTGGTTTGTACAGGGACGACCAGGACCAGGAGGACTTCCGGGCGAGCTGGGAAAAGTTGGACCCCCTGTGAGTAACTTTTTTTATTTTTTTTATGAAGTAGTTTAAAAAATAAAATGGCGGATTTTGTTTTGAATACACTGATCGGTCTCTGGGTTAATATAAGCGAGCAGCCAATTTAGCTGTGTTTTTCTTTTCTTTTGATATGCTACTTCTTTCTGATTTTAAAATGAAATATTACATGTTCTAAACCAGTTTCATGAGATTCACTCAACGGCAACTAGAGCCATTGCAAGGAATGAATAGATTTTGTGAAAACTTTTGAAAAGTAAGAAATAAACTAAGTTTAAACTTTCAAAACATATTATTCATTTATGGTATTGCAGTTCAAATCTTAGTCCGTCCATGAAAAATCCACCTCAGGGTTCATTTTAAGGGCATGGAGCTGCTGGTTCAGTAGTTCAGGATAGTTCCTCTCATGATATCAGGCAAGGGCGTGAGATGTTTGTTTTATAGAAAAAAAAAAAACTTTAAAACTCTAAAACAAACAGGTTTTATTTAGGTATTTATTTCATGGTGAACTGTTGCTGTAGTACTTTTCTTAGTTTTAGTATTTTGTAATTTTATTCAAAAAGTGAGCAATCTTATAAATGCGTATGGTTAAAGAGTATCCATACAGTTACACTGTAAAAAAATGATATGATCAATACGTTTTGACAACATGTGTTTACGTTGCTTTAACCAAGTTAAGCAATTTTTAGTTATACAATATTCAACAATTTGTTTTTAACTCAGTTTAATGTCATTTAAGTTGAAATGATTTAAAACATCCAAGTTGATTGCGTTTAAAAATTTAAGCCAGCAACTTTATTTTACAGTGTATTAAAATTCATGTGTTTCTCTATGTATAACAGGGATCAATGGGTGTGAGAGGGCCACAGGGGCCCCGTGGACCAACCGGACCCCGTGTGAGTATTGCTGTGATTTATCAAGACTAACACAACAGCAATGACCTTTAAACTCAAAACTGTGTCAAAACAACAATCATCTTGGGGAAAAATATGAATCTTGACTCGTAATGAATGATACTGACTTCAATGTTACACCAACAAAAGTCATTTCAAATTGACATTTAGCAGACGCTTTTATCCAAAGGGACTTATGAGAGAGTCATGATCTTTGTAAAAATAGTTCCTGAATATAAAAACGGTTAATTTTCTCTTTTTACAGTGTACAACTAAAGACATATGTATTCATAGACTAATTAGGAACATAATGTAGAGCAGCAAGTATAATTATGAAACAACAGGGTGACATAACGGCTTCCTTAATCAACTAATCACCCTTTATTTCTTTTAAATTGTGTGAGAACTGTTGTAATGAGAATCCGTGGTGTTTACAGGGTGCTGCAGGGATGCTGGGCGGAACAATGGAACTGGTAAGAGGATATCTGCTCCATCAATCAAGTTTTCAACACTGAGATATGTTGTGATAAGCAATATGTTTTAGTGTAAAGTTCTCCGAGTTGACTATTAGATACAGTTGGAGTGAGTGACATGAATAATCTGACTATAAATGATCTTTTCCTATGTTAAGTGCCCCAACGCTTGCTCAGCAGGTACATCTGGTCATCCTGGTTTGCCTGGGATGAAGGTGAGTTTTCTTGTAGATAGTAGAAGTTTACAATACAAATGTATACATATTTACAATTATTAATATAAATATATAATTGAGTTTTTTTGAAAAATAAATGTCCATGCTTTTTACTATGAAATAAGTATGTCCTCCTGTCCACTGTTAGGGTCATAAAGGGGGGAAAGGAGAATCCGGAGAGCCTGGTAAACAAGGACACAAGGCAAGAACTTTAGATTAGTTACAAAAATGTATAGATACAATTATGCTGACAAAGGAGGAACCAGAACCATCTGGGTTGTGTGTGTGTGTGTGTGTGTTTGAGGTCAGCATGTGTCGTGAAGTTCTCCAGAGTGAATCTGAATATAAATTAAGCAATAGGTCTGTTGTAATGAGAAAACATCGTGTTTGAGAATTTATTTTCTCCCACTGTGACATTTTGGAGATTATTATTACAGAGCCTCATTTATAATTAAGGACTGACGCTCGGGCTGCATTAACGTGGAGGATGTATTTAAATGCTGTCTATTAAAGATCTGTATAGGAATTAAACTCCACTGGCGCATGAAGAATAATGAGGGATTTGAGTGTTGTAAGAATAAGTTAGTGTGTGACATTTAATTCACTCTTGCTTGCTATATGTCTCACGATTTTTGGCTCAGAATCAGTACATTTACACATCATTTACCTCAATCAAAACTTTGCAGTTCATTTTTAAGTATTACATTAACAGCAAGAATGATTTTGAGCTGTTTTGGAGGTATCTATCTGTCTATCTATCTATCTGTCTATCTATCTATCTATCTATCTATCTATCTATCTATCTATCTATCTATCTATCTATCTATCTATCTATCTATCTATCTATCTATCTATCTGTCTGTCTGTCTGTCTGTCTGTCTGTCTGTCTGTCTGTCTGTCTATCTATCTATCTGTCTGTCTGTCTGTCTGTCTGTCTGTCTGTCTGTCTGTCTATCTATCTATCTATCTATCTGTCTGTCTGTCTGTCTGTCTGTCTGTCTGTCTGTCTGTCTATCTATCTATCTATCTATCTGTCTGTCTGTCTGTCTGTCTATCTATCTATCTATCTATCTGTCTGTCTGTCTGTCTGTCTGTCTGTCTGTCTGTCTATCTATCTATCTATCTATCTGTCTGTCATCTATCTGTCTGTCTATCTATCTATCTATCTATCTATCTATCTATCTGTCTGTCTGTCTGTCGGTCTATCTATCTATCTATCTATCTATCTATCTATCTATCTATCTATCTATCTATCTATCTATCTATCTATCTACCTATCTACCTATCTACCTATCTATCTATCTATCTATCTATCTATCTATCTATCTATCTATCTATCTATCTATCTATCTATCTATCTGTCTGTCTGTCTGTCATCTATCTATCTATCTATCTATCTATCTATCTATCTATCTATCTATCTATCTATCTATCTATCTATCTATCTATCTATCTATCTATCTATCTATCTATCTATCCATCTATATATCTGTCTGTCTGTCATCTATCTATATCTATCTGTCTGTCTGTCATCTATCTATCTATCTATCTATCTATCTATCTATCTATCTATCTATCTATCTATCTATCTATCTATCTATCTATCTGTCTGTCTGTCTGTCTGTCTGTCTGTCTGTCTGTCTGTCTGTCTGTCTGTCTGTCTGTCTGTCTGTCTGTCTGTCTGTCTGTCTGTCTGTCTGTCTGTCTGTCTGTCTGTCTGTCTGTCTGTCTGTCTGTCTGTCTGTCTGTCTGTCTGTCTGTCTGTCTGTCTGTCTGTCTATCTATCTATCTATCTATCTATCTATCTATCTATCGTTCTTTTTTTAGAAATTGTTTAGGATCTCAGTTTGTAAAATAGCTTTCTTTCTCTTTTTAGGGAGAGGAGGGAGATCAGGGGGCAGTTGGAGAGGTCGGCGCTCAAGGCCCAACTGTACGTCCATTTCCTGTTTATTTCAGCAATCTACACTTAATTAATAAATCAATCCAGTGGCTGTATCTTGATCTAGTGTCTTAAAGCTTTGTTTCAATGACATGCTCTCAGGGGCCGCAGGGAATTCGAGGTGCCACTGGTATGATTGGCTCCAAAGGAGAAATGGTAAGATTTCAATAGAGGTAAGAAGTTGAAGCATAAAATATTTTGCCTGTTCTTTTTTAAATATCCATTTGCCTTTAGTTTGTCACAGCGTGGTAAAGCCATAATGTGCTACTACTAATGCAAACTAGTACTAATGAATATTATATATTCATGGTATCAGATGGTAATACCATGAGAAAATGTGTCAGTACGGTACACTCTAAAAAATGCTGGGTTAAAAACAGCCATTTCTGGGTTATTTGGTTTTATCAGGGGAGGAACATTCTCATTGTATAGATAGAGCATTTGACGGGGACAAATTTGTACAGTACACCTCAGCATACAAGAAAAGAAATCCATATTTTTGTTCATCTACATGAAAGAAAAATATCAAGTAAAAGCCATAAAACTCATATTTATATCATGGGATTACTGTTTAGAGACTATTTTTCTTTTTACAATTATAGTGGCATTAGATGGTATACTGTAGCACTGCAACCTAAATGAGCTGAAAATGAAGAAAAATGTAATAAAACATAAGCACAATATATAAATAAATGAACAAAATAAATAAAATGGTTATTTTTTTACAGGGCCCTCGAGGTGTTGATGGTGACCCAGGCCCTCAGGGGGTTTCAGGGGCTACGGTAAGTTCTGTAACTTCCTCTACCTTATTCAAACGAAACCAATCTAATCTAAAGCTGTAAACAATCATGAAATGGAAAGTTTTACCTCACGTTCACAGTTGAAAGCTTTGAAGACGGGCATGACTTGAAGTTGATGTCCCGAGCCTTGGGTGTAAATGAACAAATCAATGTTAGCAGACATCTGAGAAGTATGTCCCTTTTTATCTAGGGGGATCGAGGCCAAAGAGGAGGAATGGGAGAAGCTGGCCCTAAAGGCGAACAGGTATGTGTACAACCATCATTAAATTAGCCTTTGAGAAGTTTTACATGATAAGTAGGTCATAGCCAAGGATCCTTGTTAGTCCTGGAACAACGTTCAAACAACCAAATGATGTTGGTCCAGGAACATGCCTTATTTGGCTATATTCTGTCACGCTAAGGGCAATACATAATGATTTTAATGAAATAATCTCTTTCTGCAGGGATCTCAAGGGCTAAGAGGCAACACTGGTCTTCCAGGGTCAAAGGGAGATGGTGTACGTGGTTTAACATATACATAAACGTTCACTTTTTTATTTCAAATGTTGGTTGTACCATCGTACAGTGATGGTATCAGATGGTAATACCATGAGACAATATGGTACTTTTTTGGTACTTAGTGTGGACAAAATGATTTGCCTAAAGACTATTCTATACATCCAAACTTTACATCTTTTTCCAGGGTTTGCCAGGAGTGGATGGACGTGAGGGAATTCCTGGCATGCCAGGTGCCAAGGTACAGCCTTGTCTTTCATTAGTCAACAGTGGCAATGTAGAAAGTGTGATAGTGGTAATAATGGAGATTTGGTTCTTTTAAAGGGCACCGTCGGAAAAGCTGGAAGCCCTGGGGAAGTTGGCCTTCAAGGACTCCCTGTAAGTTTGAATGTAGAAAAAAATTAAATGGATTAAATATATGAACTGCAATAATGACTGTGAATGTCAATATTTATTTTGCCAGAGGTAAGAAAGTTCACAATATGCTAGTAAAGTATATTTGTGTCATTTAACATATTTAATTTTTCCAGGTTCGCGTAAGGTTTGCATTTCACTGTTTTTAATAATTTTGAGGAATACTGAATCTGTTTTTCTGCAAGTGAGATGAGTAAGTGCATGCTTATTTAAACAAGTAACTTTGTTGTAAATTTAAAAGTAATGCTTACTTTACTAGTTACTTAGAAAAGTAATCTGATTACTTAACTCGCGTTACTTGTATGAATGAAGATGAAGGAATAGCAACAAAACAGTCTTTAATTCATTCAAACAGATAACTCAGGAGAGACCCACGTATTGACAATAATGGATAAATGTACTAGGGAAACTCAGGGCTTAAATACTAGGAAAAAACCAAAACTAAACAGAATCTAATAATCAGTGAATAACCATGTAACCAAGGGAAGGGACTAATATGAACAGGCAAACGGGAACTGAGCAAACAGAGGGAAGCCTAAACTAAAACAGAACAGTTCAGGGGTCTCATTTATAAAGCGTGCGTACGCACAAAACAGGGCTGGAAACGTACGTACGCCAGTTTCCACGCAAAGGTTGTGATCTATAAAAAACAAACTTGACGGGAGAATGTGCGCACCTTTAAGCAAACTTTGAGCCGTGCGTACGCACGTTTTGGAGACGGAGCAGTTTGGCGACACCGAAGGTGAGCTGGAGTTAAATGTCTTTTTGGTCACTTTTAGACAGAAAATCTAAAGAAAATGATACATATACAGAAAGATAATACAAATATAATTTCACTCACCAAGCCTATCACTTGAAGCAAATATCCATCCCTTCTTAAATGTCCGCGCCAGCGAGCGCGTTGGGCCATTTAGTGAAACTGACGCATATATAGCCTATCTAACGGCAGATGAAGTAAAACCGTAAATCTTTATTAAGAGTCATAATCATAAATAGAGTGCATGTTCACAACGACTCTTTAAATAAATAAAATAATGATTTAAACTATGTTTTACTTTTGATATAAACATTTAGATTAAATATGCCATTCCCATTAATGGAGTTAAACTCTTAAACTAGGCTACATGAAATCATTACTGAGAAGTTACAACTTTTTTTATATTCAATAAATAGAAAAATGTGTTGTGGATGCAATGCTTTTGAACACTTTTCCTCTGGCATTCTGTGTTTTAATGTTTTACATACATAATTGCTTATCATGATAATAGCAGATTATAGAAAATAGTTTTGTGCAAATAATGCACAAGATCTATCTGGTTCCATTAAAAATATAATAAATTAAAAATACTATTTGGCCAGTGAGATTGAGAAACTTTCTCTGAAATGTATTTTACACTATTTGATTTATTTATTCAAAAACAAGGCAAGGATAGGCTTATGATTTTTATTAATGTAGCCTAATGTGACAGCACTTCCGTATTTCATATTTTCCTAATATCTTGTATCGTTAAACATGGTATCACGTGGATGAATAATCATATGCAAATGATATGCAGATGAGGATATGCATAGTAAAACTAGGCGTTGTAAGCTCCATATATGGTTATTTCGGGGAGGAGACGCATGTGCGCACATTCTTCCGCTGACTGGGATTTATAAAGTGAATTTTGCGCAGGTTCTGGTGTACGAACGGTTTTATAAGTCTGAATATTTTTTAGCGTACGCCATTTTTGGCTTTCGGGCGCACGTACACTTTTAGTAAGGATCATACGCACAGTTTTATAAATGAGACCCCAGATGTTTACATTATTACAAAAAGATTATATATCAAATGATAGCTGTTCTTTTTAAATTTCTATTTCAAGGATCCTGAAATAAGTATCACCGTTTCCATACAACATTAGGGAGCACAACTGATAATAATAGAAAATGTTTCTTGAGTAGAAAATCAGCAGTTAATTGAAAATTACCAACACAGGAATGAATTACATTTTAGAATGTATTCAAATAGAAAAGTTATCTTAAATTAAAATAATATTTCACAATATTACTGTATTTTGATCACAGAAATGCAGTCTTGGTTAGCATTAAAGACTTCTTTAAAAAAAAATTAAACATCTTACAGACACCAAACTCTTAAATGGTAGTGTATCCTAGCTTTCATACAAGAATGCAGCACAAGAAGTCTCTTTTATTTAACCCTTTTCAGATATGCATTGCTGAATTCTTACAACATTTTCAACCTGTCTTCTTTATAGCTATACAGTTCATAGCTCACTATAGCAGAGGATAAAAGTCAATTATTTATTTCAATTTCAAATTTGTGCATGTCGTGTCTGCCTCCATTTCATGGCAGGGCAAGATTATAAAACCCTTCTGAAATTTATCCAGCATGATGTCAGGTCTTCATGACTAATTCACATCATCATTAATTTTGAGATGGTTCGAATACCTCTTGAGTTTTACTTTGATCTTACAGAACAAAGGGAAGGCATTTCAGTATACTTTCTCCAGGAGATGTAGCTCTAAAGCAACTGCTTTTTTGATATTTAGTGACTTTCTCTTCCATGTCTGCAGGGTTTACCAGGAAGCCCAGGGCCAAAAGGTGGAGGAGGAGAGAAGGTGAGAGATGTTGCTGAATTTGTCCGTGTTCAATGTAAATTCATCACGTTTTTTTAACACACTGAACTGACAAAAGCTTTTATCTGGTCAATGAAGCAGAAATACAGATATGTCTCACTTCAGCTATTACATGCAGCTTATGGTTTGTGTTATTTTTTTATGTTAAAATATTTTCTCTCATCTTAGTTTAATATGCAGAGACACATTTAAGGCATTTTAGGTTGATTTTGTTATAATTTGTGATTCGGAATTGTGCCAAATTCTGGCTGATGCAGATGCATTGATCTTAAATGTTCATGTTATGACTGATATAACTGACAAAACCGCTAAAAACTAAAACCAGTCATTTTAAGTGCTACAAATGAATCACAAGATTTACTCGCAACAGTATGAAAATTGGATATTCATTTTAAGATTCACTAAAGATTAAATTAAAATAAATGGTATTAAATTTCTTATGTTTTCAAAGATTAGTTAATTTTGATGATGATAACGGTAAAATGTAAAAATTGGGAAAATTAGCTTGCACAGTTAAATATCTAATATGAGCTTATATATATATATATATATATATATATATATATATATATATATATATATATATATATATATATATATATATAAAATATATATTATCTCCAATAACCCATATAATACCAATATGTTGAACATCCCTAGTTGATTTTGCCTCAATAGCGTGACAATGTGGCTCTTTCAGCATTGCTCCGTTGATTGGTTGATTGGTTGATTGATTTAAGTGGCCTGACACAGAAACATTGGTTTATAATTTTTGCAATTCCATTTACAGCCATGGTGAAATTACACACTTAAGCTACTATGTCATGTACAGTAAATGACATAAATGATTACAGGGTAATTCTGGACAACCAGGCCTCATTGGGACTATGGGATCTGCAGGCAAACAGGTAAGTAACAGATAGTAAACCGTCCAATAGCTCTGCCATTAGGAATAGATGAGCTGACAATAAATGTCTCTGTTCAGGGTGAGCGTGGAGAACAAGGAGAATTTGGACCCCTCGGGCCTATTGGACAGCCTGTGAGTACCCATTGCAGCATGACTAATGGCTAATGCACAGGCTGGATGTATCTATATTTTCTCACTAAGGTATATCTTGCAGATAATGAGAGTGTATTTGTGTTTAGGGAGACAGGGGAGAGCAGGGGCCACTTGGACCAATGGGAAAACCAGGAGCCAGAGTAAGTGTATAATCTGTATAATGACATGGTTGTGATATCAAAAAAAGCATCTGCCATACTTTACTTTCATCATACAAATTACTCGGTAAAAACCAGCAAGTAGAGAGATGGCTGTCCTGAGGTCACCTTTGTTGCTCAGATTTAGCTCTTTCATGGCTCAGCAAACGTTCAAGTATGAACCCCGTCTCAGATGGTTCTCCTAAAAAAAGAAATAAGAATGAGACACAAATTAAAACAAATGTTGACACAGTAAAGGCCTATTCACACCAAGAACAATAACTATACAAATGACTATAACGAAAACTATATTAGCATCCACACCAACGCATGCTATTGCTTCTGTCTATTCTAAGCACTCTGCAGTTTTGTCGTCTGCCGCTTTAACTGCTCGAGCTCTTTAAAGAAAGATGGTTCTTTAAAGATTCTTTAATTTCTTAAAGCGATTCCAACTAAACTTTTTCTCTGTGCCATTATCGATATAGTTGTGGTGTGGACTCTGCTATTCTTTTATATTTAGAATGATTTTTAGAACTATATAGAGCTTTACAATTAATGTATAGCTCAGATTATTTTCTCCTGGAAAAGTTTAAAGAGATATGTTCATATTGAAGATTGCAGATAAATGAGATTAATAGGGATTTTGATTTTTTTTTTTAAGCAGGAAACTTCAGAGGTTTCAGATGTCTTGATTTGTTCTCCATTTAAACCAATTGCTGTCTACACTGCAAAAATAACTGATCTTAAGGTGCACTATGTAACTTTTGGCGCTCTAGTGGTTAATAAAAAAACGACATGCGTCTTGCAGAAGAACATTATAGTCGGAGCTACTTCTCTCTGTTTAAGTATGTGATGATGAGTATTTGTTGAGATAGAATTCGTAAAAATGTTACCAACTCCAACTGGCGCTCGTTTCATATACTTGCAAACGCTGATTTTTATTCTCATTTGGCGTGGGTGAGTGTTCATTTTTGACCAGTGTAAACATAGGCTTACCATAGTAATCCAGGATAAGAAAAATAAAAATTGCTTTGGAATATCGGTTCATGATGTAGGCCTACTGAGTCATTATATAAATTTTGTAAGTTTTGAACAAAATAATGTAGTTACATAGTGTAGTAGGCTACTTTAATCATTATGATTTGCCTTTTCCCCCCAGTAAACACGTTACATTCTAAACAAGTTAATTTTGACTGCAAAGCGATTTTTTTTTTAAAATCTAACTTTTTCATAGTTTTATTTACACCATTGGAAAATTGTTGTTTATTTTATTTAAGCATAAAATATACTACATTTGATTAGATTAATATTTTTCCAAAAAACTCTCGGTTTTGCTTGTCAAGTAAATGCATCTTGTTTTAGGGTTGTTTAGATATTTAGTTACTGGGAAATAAGACATACATACTGATTAATAAAATGATTTTGTGCAGTGTGGAACTGCTAACATTAAAGAGATCTCATTTATTATTTTTTATTATTTTTTCTATGAGCTGCCAGCAATCCCAAAGTTCAAAACAAGTCATAGGCAGCACCACGTTTAAATTATTCCATTATCCCAGTGTTCAAAGAAAAAGCAAGTCGTTTTGACATCCTCTAAGCTCAACTGCTTTTACTTATTTAGACGGTTTGGTGCCCGGTGAATTCAAAAAACTTTTCACTGATAGTCTTTTAGGGGAATTCGTGACTTTATAATATGCTAATTTGAGGGTCAAACCAAGGCAAATATTCATAGTTGTGAAAAGCAGACACGCTGCTGGTAAGAAGGGAAACATCACGCTGTGCCCTGTAGAAGAGAATGGAGTCAGCGGCTTCTCTTTTGAATGGGACCTCACCTCACTGTTTCCTCACTACAGAGTAAACAGTCCAAAGAATGTCCCACAGCAGTGTCTCTCAAAGAGCTCTCTGTTCCCCTGCCATTCCCACGAGCACACTTATCTACACACACAAACACTCAATGTTTAAACATGAATGTATTATGTGACTAAATTCCAACATTTTTATTCCAACAATATTATTATTTGATTATGTAAAAACTTTGAAATGCACTATTTACAGCCATATATTCAGGATTTACATTTATATATTCAAATTTACAATTCTATATTCAGATTTATAGCTACATATTATTAATGTATATAATTATCCTGAATACTTAGTTGTTTCTGGTTATATGTTATCTTTATCTTTTACAGTAGTGCCCAAAAGTAATGTAAGTGTCAGAGTTATGGTAAACAACTTGCACAAAGTACTCTTTAAATAGTATGTAATAATAATCCTACCTGTTGCGCAATTGTCGGTGACTTCTCTTATAAATAGCATTAAATAGAATATAGTATATAGCATTTTTTTGGTGTAAACTAAAAATAGATCAATAAAGAACTAATGTTTAAGAGCAAACATGCTGTAGAGTAGCCGATGGGCTGTCGATTCATCAAATGACAAGCCGTTTTCCCACAAATGCGGATTATTCAGCATATAGTGAAGCCTCTCCTCCATTGACATCCATTAAAAAATAGCCTCTGGTCTCCTTCCCTGCATACCCAACGCTATCTCACTACCAATTCGTACAAGTAAGTAAAAGGTGGCGAGTGAGGTCGTACGACTTTGTACGATTTGTCTAAACCCCAGTGATGGGTAGGTTTAGGGGTGGGGTCAGGTGTAGGTCATTTGTACGAATGACCTCAGTCGTACGAATTCGTACGATTTTTGCTTAATCATACATGTTTTACGAGTTGCCCAATTCGTATAAATCCGTACGACTTTGTACGATTTGTCTAAACCCCAGTGATGGGTAGGTTTAGGGGTAGCGTCAGGTGTAGGTCATCCGTACGGATTTATACGAATTGGGCAACTCGTAAAACATGTACGATTAAGCAAAAAATCGTACGAATTCGTACGACTGAGGTCATAGGAATTAGCCACCTTGTAAAATACGTACGAATCGCCGTGAGATCGGGTTGGCGTTAAGCTATGAGGGAAGAATACAACTTAACTTGGTTTACGGTATTTATCTGACAAAATTATTCAGCAAAAGACAAAAAGAAGCAAACTATAGCTAAAGGTTTTATTTTACTATATCCAAAAAGGAAAATGAATAGAAAAACAAAAAGCTCACCAGAAAAAGCATGCATTAACTACAACATACCGGTAATCAGTTGTTAATATTTTGTTGGTTCTCTCTTGTTTTTTGCATGTTTATGATTTCTTTGTATGACAGCCTGACGAAAAGTTTCATTGCGTTATGACAAATATAACAATTAACTATATAATTTTTTAACTTTTAATAATATTTGAATAAAGGGTGAAGAATGTGAATTTTCCAAGGCCGGACATCATTTTATGTACTACAGTATTTTGGAAATGTTATTTATTTATTGATTGTTTGATTAATTTATTACATTAAAATGTACTGAAACTCTCTTGTGGATATATTTAGCTAAACTGTCATACAGACATTCAATTCCCAAAACTGTTCAACCCAAAACAGTGAAGGAAAAACATTCACAGAGCAAATTTATCAGCATTTGCCATTGTGTCCTGGTCTCGCATTTTCTCTCAGATTGCTCTTTTTTTTTCTTTAAATGCATGAGTATGTTTTTGTGGGGATGCACAACATGATTCTGAAGTCTTTTCTCTTTGTTGTCGAAGGTTTTAAACCTTTCCCATCTGTTTGGAAATCCTGCTGCGAGAGAGGAGAGAAATAAACACATGAACCAGAATTTCACAGTAAATGCCAGACTCTGACTGGATGCCATCTTTACCGTACATTGATTGTCGTTTCAGGGTCCGAAAGGTGACTTGGGCTTGCCTGGAATTCCCGGACCGTCGGGCTTGCCAGGAATAAAAGGAGATAGGGTGAGGAGCTCTCTGCCTACCACATTTCCACTGAACATCCAACAGATTTTTTTTTGTAATCTCAAAATGATCTCTTTAAATTGCTTTTTCATTATGATTTTGTTCCCTGATGAACTGATAAAAACCTGTGCACCTGTGGAAAATGTGTTGCAGTCAGGCAGTTTTAAGTGATTTTTTCATCTCCTGTGTGCAATATGCATCAGATTATCAGACAGTGAACCTGAGGCTCAAACTACACAATTCGTAGGTGATCAACCTTAATTCTTTATTTATTAAGGAACAGCAAATTGTACTTGGAGTTTCGCTAAATCAGTCACTATTATAAAAAGTTATCCACAACCCTTTAAAAACAGCTATTCAATTAGACAATGACGGTTTCACTTTTTCCAGCCTTTAAGGCATTGCAGTTATTATGAGCTCCCACTGGTGTTTTAAAGTTTAAAAGCCTTTGAAAGTACAATGAGGCTTTTGAAAATCTAATTCATCCCTTTTAGACTCGATGATTTCTTTAATGCATTTGGGGGGGGGATGGGGGAACGTAAGCACCTCACACAGATGTAGGATTTATTGAAAAAGTAAAATGCTGAGCGTACATTATTAAATTACTGTTAATATAATGAACTCTTCAAACACATGCTTTGAGTGAAATATTCATGGGAATGAATTTTTGAATGTGATGTTTCACAGGGTGAAGCAGGTGAAGCTGGACCAAAGGGAGAACAGGTAATTCACATTATCACCACTTATTATCACCAACTAAACCAAACACATCAGATGCCTTTAAAACCAAGAAAACCAATGTAAGAAAGGCGACACTGAAACAATTTCGGTGTGGAAACAAGGTTTAACTCAGAAACTGCTAGTAAATTTCACGAATTAGCACAATGGCAAGTAACAATTTTGAAGTAGAAAGACTGAAATGGTATTTTCTTGTAAAAAGAATTCCAAAAATATTTGCTTTATTGTTATTTTTAAAATATATGTATTAAACATTATTTATCCACAGAATTTAATAAAGCAATAAATGACAAGTTACGGTTAAGGAACATTGTCAGTGTGATGGGCAGCATCAAATGGTTCAATGCATCTAAAAATCATATAGCTTACATTTGAAATATTTAAAGGCAGCAATAACCATTAAATAATTCCATTTACTAGTAAAGAAAATCACAAAAACAAATCTCTCAAAGTAATATGGTTTCTGTAGGCTATGAATACAGCTCATCCAGTCACATTTTATAACCAAACTTATCCATTCTAGAAGTTTTACAATAACACGACTTATTCATAGACTTTTAAGAAATGTTCTCCTTCACGATGATGTGTTTTATTGCAGGGAGATCAAGGTGCCGAGGGAACGCCAGGAGACAAGGGAGATCTTGTGAGTAGCTCTGAAATACTGAGCTGAAAATAATATGAATGCAGTATGCTAATGTACACTGAGATGGTGAACTTTAATTCTCTTGCTGTTTATGTACTTAGGGTGATCCTGGCCAACCTGGAGCTAAAGGCGAAGTGAGTTTTTGATCAGTATTCTTACTGGCAGCACTTAACTTTACAGTCATGTTCCCCGTGTACATACTACGTATTATAGTAATTACCTAGTTATTACCCTTTTATAGTAATTACTATAATACGTAGTATTATGAAATATCTGAGGGGTAGGTTCAGGGATAGTACCTAGTTATTACCAATGTATTGTAATTACTATAAAACGTATTACAATAAATGGGTAATAACTAGGTACTATCCCTGAACCTACCCCTAAACCTAACCTTAACCCCGTAGTTACCTTATATTACCCAGTACTTTCTTAGGTAAGTACACTAACGTACTGTAAAATAAAGTGCAACCATCTTATTTACGATTATTTTTGACTATTCAGCTGTCAGATAGGACTTCATATATCCTTGAAGCGTTTTCCTTGGCTTTATCTCAGCTCTAGGCCTCACATTGAAACACTAAGTCATTGTAATGATTTACTGAAATAATTACATCTATTAATGTGTGCATGCATATCTGGTGTGATTCAGGTTGGTAACCAGGGAGATCCGGGCAATAGAGGGCCAGAAGGTGCCCGTGGGCAGCCTGGCATTGAGGGACCTCCTGGTAGTGCTGGACCACGTGGCATGCAGGGGAACAGAGGAGCTCCAGGACCTCGTGGCTCCCAGGGACCAGCGGTATGTTTCCAACCTCTCAACGATTATGCTTCGTAAGCCAATGCTGTATATAGATGGAAAAAAAGAATGGACACAAATATATTTATGCCTTTTACCTATTAACCTCATTTTATTAATGTGGTATTCTTGGTAGTTTTTATCCTTTTGTTACACATGTTAAAACGGTAACACTTTACAATTAGATTTCAATTGTTGACATTAGTTAATCTATTAACTTACATTAACTAACCATGAGCAATACATATGTTTCTGTATTTGTTAATATTTGTTAACTAATGAAACCTTATTGTAAAGTGTTACCGTAAAAACTCGATTTTGCCCATTATACTGATTTCGCTTTGCATGTACACTACCATTCAAAAGTTTGTGGTCAGAAGGATTTTTCTTTTGTTGTTGTTGTTTGAAAAAACAACAACTTTAATTCAGCAAGGATGCCTTACATTGATCAAAAGTGACAGTAAATACATTTATAATATGATTTCTGTTTCAAATAAATTGTTCTTTTAAACATTGTCAAAGATTTCACAAAAATGTTAAGTAGCACAACTGGTTTCAGCATTGATAATAATAAGAATCGTGTCTTGAGCATCAAATCATCATATTAGAATGATTTCTGAAGGATCATGTGTCACTGAAGACTTGAATAATGATGCTGAAAATTAAGCTTTGACATCACAGGAATTAATTACATTTTAAAACATTAATATTTGACGTAAATATTTTAAATCGTAGTTTCGTAATATTACTATTTATACTGCATTTTTGATCAAATAAATGCAGCCTTGGTGAGCATAAAAGCACTTGATTAAAAATAAATAAATAAATCGCACCAACCCCAAACTTTTGAACGGTATGTGCACTCTATATGGGTTTATTGGCATTCTGTCAGCTTCTTCAATGTGTGTGTTTTTCACAATCAGATTATTTTGATATGTACAGGGTACCTACGGTGATTGAAAACCTGTGACTATAGTGACTATAATTTGGTTTTGTTATGCTCCAGTCAAAGTATATATAATTGGCTGAAAATCGCTCTTTGTGAGTGCAATCTTTATCAAATTAATAATTGTTCATCCTTGTCCAGTAATCATAAATGACAGGAGAACTGAAAATTCAAAGGCCAAAATGTGTGAAAAACCCAGTTTCAGTGTTTTGTTGTACACACTCATTATGTTTGAAAAGGTATATTGAGAAAAACCGTACTGTGATATCTGAAAGCTTCTGCCGCTTTTAAGAACACTTAATTCCTATTCCAATGTTTGCGTTTGTTATTTTCTAATGTAGAGCTAATAAGTGGTCTGAAATGAGATGAAATGATCAGAATACAGTAACAGGATTGTGTGATTTTCTTCCAAACAACTCTTCCTGTGTTCACAGGGTAAAGAACCAAGTGATCAACACATCAGACAAGTGTGCATGCGCGTTATGCAGGGTAAGTCTGGAAGCCAAAGTTATCATCTTTTCGGAAATAAGCGGAATTTCCTTTTATGCATGCACTTTTGCCGTCAGAGCTTCGTAGGAGAACACAACTAATGACAACTGAAGGAAAGAGTAGGATGAAAAGCATTTGTGTTTTGTTTCAAAGATTCTACTCTGATGATCTACGCAGAGAGTTAGCCATCAATTCTACCTCTCTCTAAGTCCTCTTGAGCGCACGCCAACGATTCCCTCATGACTTTTTCATTCACATTTCACTGAAAAATTCATTTTCATTTCAGCTGATCTGCACTTTTCCCTCATAGTGATGAGTTGCCCTCCTTAGGCTTGGTTTCCTCCCTGAAAAAGCTCAGTCAAGCATCGTGCCGCATACATTTTCACGACGTTTTCCGACTGAAAGTAGAAATTCACTGTACCCTAGCCTCTGCTCAATGGCTCAGGGCCCGGGATTGGATTCTTTACACCAGGAATAAATCGGTCTGCCCTTTTATCTCTTCACACGGTGAAAAAAGAAAGTTATAAAAACGGCAGCAATGCTCTTCCTTTGTGCTCAATTTCCCATTGCAAATTGAAAACGTAAAAGAACACCGTTCAAAGGGATGAATGAGGACAAATGAAAGGCGTGAGCTTTAACGGCTTTCTGCAACACAGCTTTGAGTGAATTTTGAAAGCTGGCAAATGATCTGCTTATTCACAGAACAATAGCAGAGCTATAACAGAGTAAAATTAGTCTAGGGTCTATTTACTTCCAAAACATAAAGCAACTTAAAGTGTGTGCAATAAAGAGTCAGAGGTGCGATACTCACCAAGCCATATCTCTGACACATTCAGCTTTTATCCAAAGTGACACACAGAAGGCACACATTTTAGCCTGAATTGCAGTGCTGAAGGTGTAAAGTGTGAAACGAATGCGGTGCTAGAATGTTAAGGGCAGACAGCCAGCCATAAACAGCCTCAGACATTAATTAATTCGCTTTATACTAGGGATAGACAACGCTATCTCACGACCAATTCGTACGAGTGATTAAAAGGTGGCTAATTCGTACTAATTCATACCACCTCACTCGTACGAATTCGCACGGTTTGTCTAAACCCACGTGATGGGTAGGTTTAGGGGCGGGGTCAGAGGTAGGTCATTCGTACGAATTCATTCGAATTTGGTAACTCGTGAAATATGTACGAATTAGCAAAAATCGTACGAATTTGTACGAGTGAGGTCGTATGAATTCGTACAAATTAGCCACCTCGTAAAATTCGTACGAATTGCCGTGAGATCAGGCTGGGATAGATGCGTCTATTAAGCAAAAAAAAGAAGGCAAGGAAAAAAAACTAATGAAGCACCAAAACCTTTATGAGTCTTTGTTACGAATCAGTGCTTCAAAACGCTTATCAGTTATTTATATTGGTAAAAGTTCAATTTATTTACTGATTATACCCTGCCCGGCCAAAACAAAAGTTGCTGTTTGGCTTTAAACAGGCAAATAATACATAAGAGTCTATGATTGGATCATTATTGCTGTTATTATTATTTTTATAGCATGTTATATGTTTGGGAACAGTTCTTCTAACCCTAATTGATGGAGTGTGTAGCTTTTTACTTCTTAAAGGAATAGTTCACTTAAAAAATAAAAATAAAAATATTCACAACTCAAGTTGTTTCAAACCTGGATGAGTTTCTTCCTTCTGTTAAACACAAAAGAAGATATTTTAAAGAATGTTGGTAATCAAACCATTGACTGTAGCCATTGACTTCCAGAGTATTTGTTTTCCTACTATGGAAGTCAATGGGTGTCGTAAACTGTCTGGTTACTACATTCTTCAAAATATCTTCTTTTGTGTTCAACATAAGAAACTCATACAGGTTTGAAACAACATGAGGGTGAGTAAATGATGAATCCCCTCATGTTGTTCCAAACCCATTTTACAAAAGACAATATTTAAGAAATGTCATAAAGAAATGTCAGTGTTTTTTTTTTTTTACCAAACACTGAAAGCCATGTTCTTCAAAATATCTTCCGTTCTGCAGAAGACAGAAACACACAATGTGCACAATGTGAAATATGTAAAACAAACTACACAGTGTTAATTACTAACTCAGGATAAAGCAGTGTTAGCAAAAACATTCATTTTGAAAGAAACATGGTCTCAGAATAATTTATGAATAGTTCTGAGATTGTACAAAGCACATGAATATTTAAGGCGAGACACGGCAGGCAAAAACATAGGGTTTTTTTCACTGGTCAATTTTGAGATTTCGGGATATTTGTCTTCAAAAACATGTCTTCTTTCAGACTTGTGGTGAAAAAAAGTCCGAAATACACATTTAGGTCTCTATTTTACTACACTTTGTCTGTTTGCGTCTGTAGATTTCTCATAAATTCATCAAAAGTTGGCGTTGTAAATCATCCGTTGCTCCGCTATCGCGATCTGCACCCTGTCATCAAACACACCCTTAGAAAGCTCTCTCTCTATTGTACAATGTTGTCGGATCCAAATATGGTCATTTCCTTTTTATCAGCAACCAATCGTGAAAGTAAAAGGGCGCAAATGCGCAATCTCATTGGCTGATGCTAAATCTTTAAAGCCCGTTTTCTCAAAATGACTGTTCTCTCATACTCAAAGTCCGAAATCTCCACTTCGGTAGCACCCATATACACCAAACTTTCCTGTCTTGTACCTAGTTATATTGTGAAGACATTTACTGAGGGATTTGTAAATATATTATTCCTAGCCCGATTTATATAACATTTTATTCCAAAAAACAGGGCAAAAATCTTTTTTTTAAGGCTATTGACAGTATATTCTGATTTATAGGATAACAAAAGTAGATATCCATAAATCCCTCTGTATTTTTTTCCCCATCTAATATGTGAACACAATGAAAAAAGAATTTTGAACCTGGCTTTATCCAATACTCAGATTTCATTTTTTGAAATATATGTAAATTAGCACATATTTAAGTAGATAATGCCTAATTTGCATATTTAAACATTAAATTACAGAAAACTTGTAATACATTTTTTTCTCATCTTAATGTAGGTAATCAACTGGGAAAGTTTCATGGTGATATCTGCTAGTTAAAAAAATTACCCTATTCACCTGTAGTGTCTCGCCTTAATAAGGTAACCACTAAAGCACTTTATGATTGATTATTTGTTGTTAAACAACTGGTCATAACATTCCAGCATTTCACAGAGTTTTTATAAACCACGGTTAAAAGCGGCTTTGTTATTGTGAATCATTTCTTTAACCATGAGTTAAAAAGACAGTAAGTCAGAATGAAATAAAAATTAATTGTCTATTTTCTAAATGCATGTTATAGATCTTATTGTGAACAATTAATTTGTGCGTATGTATTATTATAAAAATGACCTCACAATGTTTAATCTAAATGTCATGCCTTGCCTTGTCTAGAAGATCCAGTTAAGTTTATTTATATAGCACATTTCATACACTTTGGCAATTCAAAGTGCTTTACACAGAAAGGAATTAAAATAATCCCAAAATAAAAGGAAGGAAAACAGTTATAAAAGGAATTAAAAGAGATATATGATACAGTTATAAAATGAATTAAAAGAGTAAAAAGATGATACATAGATAAACTTCTCATCTATAACACCGGTGTATCATATTTTTCACAACTCCCAATTTTGGTGATCACACTGTGTCTGTGGTATTCTTTCGGCGCACCTAAGAAATCTATTGGACGTCTCCGATGGACCCGATTTCCCCCTAAAATCGGACAAGAGGAGCTCTAGGACTGACTCAAGGGGTAACCTCGGGTTCACTGCCCCACCAGTCCGCACGCCCCAAAAAAGATTTGTTCTGAAGCTCTGGGAATGGAATCGACCCAGTCCGCACCCCACAGAACCTCGAGTTTAATTACACATCAAACTCATTACTCCACCACAGACCCAGGTCATCAGCCTGGTTTCATTTCTCTTAACCAATTCTCAATGCCATTTGAGTTCAGTTTAGAATCAAAAGGAGTAAAATAAATGTAGGAGTAAATGCACAGCTAAACAGATGTGTGTTGAGTCTGGATTTGAATACTGAGGAGCACATCTGATCTCCTCTGGAAGCTGGTTCCAGCTGCGGCTGGCATAATAGCTAAAAGCAGACTCTCCATGCTTAGAGTGAACCCTTGGTATTTCTAGCTGATGTGATCCTAATGATCGGAGTGATCTGTTAGGTTTATATTCAGTGAGCATATCTGCAATATATTGAGGTCCTATGCCATTGAGTGATTTATAAACCAGTAATAATACTTTAAAATCAATCCTAAATGTAACTGGGAGCCAGTGTAGAGACCTGAGGACTGGTGTGATATGTTCATATTTTCTGGTTCTGCGTTCTGTATGAGCTGCAACTGTCTTATGGTCTTTTTAGGAAGGCCAGTGAGGAGTCCATTACAATAATCCACCCTGCTGGTGATGAAAGCATGCACAAGTTTCTCTAAGTCTTGACTGGAAACAAAGTATCTAATTCGTGCAATATTTTATGATAGTATGCTGATTTAGTTATTGCTTTGACATGACTACTGAAACTAAGGTCTGACTCTAGAGACACACCGAGATTCCTGACTTGATTTTTAGTTGTTAGACCCCTAGAGTGAAGGTATGCATTCACCTTGAGAACTTCATATTTGTTTCCAAACGCAATGACTTCAGTTTTGTCTTTGTTTAACTGAAGAAAGTTTTGGCACATCCAACTGTTTACTTCATCAATGCATTGGCACAGGGAGTCAGTGGTAAACGATTTGGCCAAACTCCGCATGTCATGGATGTCCATTCATTATGGTCACCTATACTCACATAATAACCTGTATGACCTGAACCTAGTGAAGACTTCTCTCTGGCAATGTTTGCAGAACTTGTCCAATCTTTTAGTCAACATAAAGGTGCAGTAAGTGATTTCTGAGAATTTTTGTTGAACACTGCCGAAATTTTAAATCAACACAAACAAACACACCCCTCCCTTCATTGCTCCGCCCCCAAAATGCACGACCACGCTATGCAAGAGTGGATGTCTTTTTATCATACAGTAGAAACAAAGCAAAATAAAGTAAAGATGATGAACGAACAAGGAAGAACAAAAAATTAACATACGGTACAAAAGAGTGTATATACAAGCAAGAGTTCTTTGTTATTCGCCGCTCCAGAAATGACACTCAAAACCAATGTTACTCATGTGGTGTCCGTTTTCAGGTCTCTCCAGCTCTGGAAAGCTTTTCTAGTATTATTGAAGTCCTAAAGCTCTTGTCAGATCATAGCTCTTATTTTTCCAGTCATATTCCTCTGAGCTTTTCTCTTTTTGTAATGTCTCTCAGCCATCTCTCTTTCTACACTCTTTCTTCAAATCCCCCTTTTGCTCACTCTCTCTCCTCCCCCATCATGAGTGTATACGCCCCCTACTGCTGATTGGCTAAAAGTGTGTAGTGGTGCTCGGTCTGAGACAATTTTTACAGTGTGTCTCAGAAATCGCTTAATGCACCTTTAAAGTCGTGATGTGAAGTTTTTTCCATATTGTGCATATACACTGATGATGGGGGAGGAGAGAGAGTGAGCAAGAGTGAGATTTGAAGAAAGAGTGTGCAGGAAAGCCTGAAAACGGAGGCCGTTGCTTCTGCTCCATACATGAGTATCACTGGTTTTGTTGTTGTAATGTTTTGAGTGTCCTTGTTTGTCTGGAGATTGTGTGCTGCTGGCTACTAACAACAAACTCTAGCTTGTATATACTTTGTGTACTATACAGTATGTTAATTTGTTAGTCTTCATTGTTGTTTGTTGATAATCTTTGCTTTATTTTTCACAAAGCATTATTTTGCTTTGCTTCAGCTATGATAAAGAGACATCCACTCTTGCATTGCATGTTTGCTCATTTTGGGGGCGAAACAATGAAGGGAGGGGTGTGTTTGTTTGGGTTGATTTTAAATATCAACAGTGTTTCTCTGAAATTGCTTACTGCACCTTTAAGTAGAGTGTAAATGAAGGAATAATGTGAAGACAAAGAGCAGGAAGATGGATCAACCTCAAGGAGGCGCCCTAACATTAGTTGTGAAGCACAATAGACAAATCACAATGCAGTCAGTGTGCAGTGTTAGATGACTCTAATTAGCGAGTGCAACTGCAAAATCAATGGAGAAATGAAATAAAAATGAGCTGTGCTAATAGCAGGGGACCATTCACACTCATTAGTGTATTTGGTCTTTGCCATTTCAGGGCAGCTGGCCCAGTTAGCTGCCAGTCTGAGGAGACCAGAGTCCGGTGCGGTCGGACTGCCAGGCAAACCTGGTCCCCCCGGCCCTCCCGGCCCCCCAGGTGACAGCGGCTTCCCAGGGCATGCTGGTGTAAGAGGACTCCCGGGACTCAAAGGGCCTCCGGGACTTCTGGGTTTCAAGGGGCCGAAAGGTGAGTTATAATGGGACTGTGAGTTTGGATTGCTTGTTGGTCCTGGAACAACATATAATGGCATGAACTACAGGGCTCCCTGAATTGATGAAAAGCTAATAATTAAAATGAAATGTGGCTGCAAAATGAATCGAATTAAAACAAAAAAGTGGGATTTGATCAAATACATATATGTGCTGTTTGTTTTTATATTGCATCAGAACGCCTCGATTCAGAGTAAATGCTGTTTCTCAACAACTGCAGTATATCTATATAAATATTTGATCTGTTTACTTGTATGCGATGTGAACATAACCAACATCAGAGAACCATGAAAATGCGACATTGTGACATTAAATGATTAAAATACTTAAAACCTCAGAGCTACTTCAAGTGAATATTTTATATCTAGATTAGAGTATTGTATGTAAAGGCACGGTCATGAGAGTATTATTGTTATAGTAGTATTGAATAGTGTTTGTGTGCATGTTACAGGTGAGATGGGAGACAGAGGGGACAGGGGACCTACACATCGGGGACCCAAAGGCATGCCGGGACCTCCTGGATTACCAGGTCAGTTCCGACTGCGTCTCATATCCTACTTCCTCTTGTCAAAGAAAATCACGGTATTAATGCATACATGCGAGAGGTTTCGATGAATACCGTCTGCAAACCAATTAAATCTGAAACAACTCAATTCATTTCTGAAATGAACCTGGAGATATGTTTAGCTCCATCCTGGTAATAGACTTTTGAAAGCAAAGTTAAATTGGTGTTAAATGAAGCTGTCAGACGTCCGATGAATTGGAGGTATATGAAGCCTTCTGTTGTTGCTGCATGTGTGTCACTGACACTTACTGTCAGTCCAATGAAGCTGTCTGTTTAAATAGGATTTCTTATGCAGTCATTACCTAGTAGACTAATTGAAACGGACAGATCGGCTGTGGTGCCATGTGCTGATGTCAGGTTTTTTCATTTTCATGCATTTCATTCAGTAGCCTACTTTAAGATATTTTAAAATGATGCAAAAGAAGTAGATCACCCAAAACATACAAAGTCTACCATATACTGGTGAAGACTTTTGCAGGTGGACAGACAGGGTAGTTAATATGTAATGTAAAAACACCAAAATATGGTCTATTTGACTTCTCTAATTCCCACTCAGGTTGGTGTATTCTGAATATGCGGAAATGCAAATGAGATTAACTTTACCACGCTTTGACTTTTTGAATCTAAATTAAGAGTTTTATTGGTAAATGAAGATGACAGACCTGTTTCTGTGTTGCAGGTGAACCTGGAAAACCGGGATACGGTCAGGACGGGCGTGATGGAGAAAGGGGTCTACCTGGTTCCCCTGGTCAGTCGGGCGTTCCTGGACCTCCCGGTACAGCCGGACCACCCGGTTACTGCGATCCTTCGGCCTGTAATCTTAGCGCAGGCGCCGCACACCAGTCTCTCGAGGACTCTAGCATGAAGGGACCGGGCAGAAACTAAAAAAAAAACCTTCAGGACATTCGGAGAGACTCCTTTACAGCTCTGCGAAAAGCACAAAACATTATCGCCCCTCGCAGATAGTTTTACTACCGCGCTACAGCTGTGATGACTAAAACACTTTACCAGCTTCCCGTGTTCACCCGGTGCAAATGAACTTTCACAGAACTTATTGGTCATCTAATGTTCTCCTGAAAGCCATTTACAGTAGACTTTAGATATTTTTTTTTTTCCCCAGCTAATACTTTAAATCCACAAACGTCAATGTGGCCTTCAGACCTGAGGCCTTTTTCATTTGTGTGGCAAAGATAAACCTGGCAGAAATATTGATGGTGCTCGAAGTTCATAACAGAAACGGCTGCCGGAGACCTGCTGTCAATGTATTCAATTCAATGTATTCTGTACATCTATGTAAATGATTGTGGTTTTGTATGAAATTCACTCCCCCTGCAAAAAAAAAAAAAAAAAACCATCAGTGTGATTTATTGTTCCAGGATTGTGGGCGGGAATGCGATGCATTTGACAAACACACGAGAAATGCAGATACGTCATTTCATGGTATTTCTATTTATTTTACATAGGTGTTTGATGACGATGAACTTTGTACAGAGATCCAAGGGAGACACATTTGAATAAATTTGAATGTTTTTATATGAATTCAAAATAAATGTAGGTCTCAAACATTCTTATGCTTCTTCCCCACCCAATGCTTCTTAGTTGATCAGCCTCAGAGTCCCCGACTGCACTCGTCACAGCTTTTACCACGCTCATTTCTCACTTAAATAACTCATTACATGCCAGTGCAAAAATGGTGGCACAAACACATTCAGATTGCTCTTTTAGTGTCGATTCTAATTTGGAAATGCTGGAACACTGAACTCGGCAATTACTCAGTAACAGAATCGAACTAAGGATTGCAAAAATGTTATTCACTTCAATTAAAACCTTAAACATGAAATACAGACTTGATAATGGTTATGCATTAAGTGAATGCATGTTTATAAATAAATAAATTATTTAGATGTTAATTAAAATGAGATCTTTCCTTAATATAGAAAGTGGCTTTAAAAAGCATTTGGACACTGAAGACAGACCGCCGGCACATTAAAAACCAAAAACTTTTTACAAAAAGTTAAAGGAATAGTTTTGAATGTAAATTCTGCCATCATTTACTCGCCCTCAAGTTGTTTCAAACCTGTATGAATTTCTTTCTTCTGTTGAACACAAAGGAAGATATTTTGAAGAATGTCGGTGACCAGAGAGTTGATGGGAAAAAAGTCAATGGGGTCCATCAAATGTCAGTGTCTGGTTACCGACATTCTTCAAAATATCTTTCTTTGTGTTCGGCAGAAGAAAGAAATTCATACAGGTTTGAAACAACTTGAGGGTGAGTAAATGATGACAGATTTTTTTAACTATTCCTTTAAGTTTGGAACAATAATAATTAAGTCTCCAAATTATTTTTTAATTCCACTGAACATACGCATATCTCATGCACTCAACATTCCAAACGACAACAATATGAGTGGAATGCTGAAAGTCTGAGCATCCTGAAAACACCAAGCAAAGGATAAAACTGCAATCAATATAGCAAATCCTTGTATCGCACAACATAATCCACAGAAAATATTAACGGTATTGCAATATAACTTTAAGTTACACAAGTATGGGAAACAACCAATAAAGTTAAATTATTATTAACAAATATTATACATGACACCACAAAAAAAATGTACAATACTTTTCTAACTGAACTTACAATGAACCAAACGTGTTAGTACATTCATAGTTTAATATATAACCGTCTGCAAAGGCAAGTTAGCTTCTGCCTACCATTTGAAATGAACTGAACTTTTTATCCCTCATACAGTATATAGTGTTTAATTAAATTTGACATCGAAAATGTTTCCATTAAGTCCGAAAAAACAGTTGCATATTAAGAGATACTGTACGCAAGACACTACTGTTTCACAATGAATGTTAAATTAAGTACATTTATTAAAACAATGTACAATTATATAAATATGCAAACCAAATGCATCAACAAGACCAAGCACAAAAAAAAAATTCTGACCACAATGAGCATTCATTCTATTGAGAACAGAACCATGTTATATCTTCCAGATATTGAGTTGGTGATGCAGTGCATATCAGGTAGATGTGGTGTTTTGTCTTAAGACCGTCCTTCAAGTAAGTCCACAGTTTTAGCCCTTGAGAAAAATATTGTATTCATGCTACATATAGCCCATTTCTGTAAACTAAACATCTGTGGGTTGACTGAAAACCAATGCAAATATGTTTTTTTTATGATAAAAAAAGATGAAAAAAACAACTGTACTATTCACTGCAGTTTACTGATCTCTAACAAAAAGAGCCTTATGACCTGATCCATCAATATTGAACTCTCAGCAGAGGTAATCTGGTACATCACGAATATATATAAAAAAAGCATACAATTAAAACAGTAAAACAGCAAAAACCTAATAAGGGTTTGCTTTGTCAAACGTAATCTTCGGTGCAAAGAAAGAAAGATGTAATGGAGGAGGACTAGGAAGACTAAGATTAAACGTAAGAAAAAAAAAGCAGCACAAACAGCAAAAGCAGAACGTCACAAAACTGTCATCCACCCACATGACTCCAGTATACTTTCATCTTCTGAACAGAAGCATATGAGTGAAGTCAAAAGATTCGATGACAGAGCATGTGAGCGGAGCGCTAGAGATTCCGCTCAGGGCCGCTCGTTCAACCCAGAATGCCCTTTACTGACATGCTGGTTTGAGGATACGTGAGATGGGTCTAAGGTTAATGAGTTGAAATATTGTTTTAAAGAAGCTTAGACATAAATGAACGCACAGTAGTTAAGAACAAATGAGAAGAAATTGAAAGGGAGAGTGGAGAAACGGAGTTAGCAAAGATTCATTTTGTGAGATACTAACAGCGAAGTTCTTTTTCTTTTTTTTTTCGTTTAGGGGTAAAAAACAAAACAAATACCTTCGCAGCTGTTAGCAAACATCCCTTTTTTCCCTTCAAAAAATGTTTTTCACCTCAGCGAGAAATAACGGTAATATCGTGAGATCTCACCCCTAATATTTATGTTCATCTAACACACTGCTCACGCTCGTATGGAAGCTGAATATAAAATATCAGTTTTATAAAAAAATACTTTTTTCTCGCAATGGCGAGTTTACATCTAGCAATTCTTTCTCAGAATTGCGAGATATAAATGTGCAGTTGCGAGTTATAACGTCAGAATTGCAAGATATAAACTCCAATTGACTTTCTTGCAATTGCGAGTTTATTTTATTTTTTATTTATTTTATTTTATTTTACCAGGAAGGTCCCATTGAGATACAAAATCTCTTCTACCAGGGAGTCCTGGTCAAGATAGGCAGCACAAACAAAAATACAAAGTAATATGACACAACATAACTACAAAACAAGAGTTCTGAGAAGCAATATTAATCCTAATCAACTGTTAAAACATTTACACCGTTCTATGAAAACAGACTTTAAAAGGGTTTTAAATGAAGCTAAAGATGGTAAATATTTCATATACGATATACCCTGAAGTTCATTCCATACATAAGGAGCGTAATTAGAAAAGGCTGATCTACCTAACTCTGTATGGATATTTGGAATCTTAAAGGGATACTCCACCGGTTTTTCATATTAAACTATGTTATTCCCTTAACTAAGACGAGTTGATACATACCTCTCTCGTCTCAGTGCGTGCACTATATCGCTCTGTATTGCCACAAAACTATGTTAGCACTTAGCTTAGCCCAGTGCATTAAATATGGGCCAAAAAGAGAAGCGACCAAACACTTCCTCGTTTTCCCTATTTAAACACAGTGACCCGATCTGGCGAAATGAGTCGGAAGTCGCAACGTTCCATTTTAAGATATGGGCCGATTATGTGGGAAAACAATGAAATAATAGATTTTTTTTTTTGTTGCTAATTTCAAAGAACAGACATTCAAAAATAATCTCCCAAAGTTTCGTAGTCCAGATAATTGAGTAAAGGTATTTAAATTACTATTAAAGTGTACAAAGTTTTACTAAATTCGCTGGAAATGAACATTGCTTTTCTCAACTCCTCGCGTCATCTCTGAGGATTTCCCGGGTATCCCAACGTCACTATCTCTGCTCTTTAAATGGTGTTACACATTGTATAGACCAATTTTCAGCCGACGTCACAGTTACGTCACGGCGCTAGCTGGTGGCAGAACAAAGGGAAAACTGGAGGCGGCAAATACAAACCAGCACAGATTCGGCTACAAAATAAGGATCTTAAATTATTCTTCTTATTATTAAATGTCATCTTGTTGTGTTGTGGGGTGCAAGAATCAATGAAAAATTAATATGCTTTATCTGCAATTTTTTATTTCTAGAAATATTCGCCTCATTAAAATTGCACCGTAATGTCCCTCTTTACATTGTCGTCTTCTCGGCGCTGGCTAGGCAGAACTGCAGATCGTACCACACAAGTCTTGTACATGATCATTCAGCACATAGTTATAGGCATCTAAAGATTTACATGCCCTCCGTTTCTCTATCAGGTAGGTGTAGAAGTCAGGCCACTCAACCGGAGGTAACGTTAACGTTAATCCTGTCAGATCCTCAATGAGTGTACGGGTCAGCCAATCTGGTTCCGTCCGTTAAAATTAACTTTTGCAAACAATCGTGGTCCTGGACAGTGAGTGACCTTGCACATTAAGATAAAATCGGATTTTCTCCAGTCATTGTTAAAAACAAGCTAACAAAACTTGCAGACTTTACGTTAGTGAAGCGGCCAGAGGGATTGTTCTGCCACCACTTAAGCTCCGCCCACATAAAAACGTCACCATGTTTACCAACTGAAAATTGGTCTATAGAACCAATCAAAAAGCTTAGAAATGTACACAAATGCTGATCATTTGTCGATGGGAAACCGTTTCGACTGACCGGCACGCGATTGGTCCAGCCACCCTCCTGTCAGACTCGCAGCGAGCGCTCTGTGTAATAAACAAGCTAGCAGATCTCCTCAGAAAGATTAAATATTATTAATTTGAGAAATGTCGCTGTCAAAAGCGAGCAAAGTTGCCAAAGCATCATCAAGCCCCCTGGCCTTTGCACACTGAGTCCGCGTTTTTTCCGTACTATGCGTTTTTTTCGTATTGATTCGGTGGCTCCGAATTGTCAAAACA